AAAACACATTGAGAACAATTTCTCTATATTCTGATTCCTGCAGATATGTAGAACGGATTACATTCATAGTCGTAATTTTATCCATCGGGACATCAAGCCGGATAACTTTCTGATGGGCTTGGGAAAGAAGGGGAATCTCGTGTACATTATAGATTTTGGACTGGCTAAGAAATACCGCGATGGCCGTACACACAAGCACATACCCTATCGAGAAAACAAGAATTTAACAGGCACAGCCAGGTTTGTGTTTTCTCCTCACTATACTTTTGTCATATGTTATAGCGTAATCGCATTTGCTTCAACCTTCTAGTGTTCCTTAATTAATTAGCAAAGGGAGAAAAGAAAGAAAAAAAAAAAATTCACTGATAATATTATTAATAGATATGCAAGCATTAATACGCATCTGGGAATTGAACAGTCACGGCGGGACGACCTTGAATCCTTGGGGTATGTTCTCATGTACTTCAATAGAGGTAGTTTACCCTGGCAAGGTTTAAAGGCGGCGACTAAAAGACAAAAGTACGAACGTATCTCTGAAAAGAAGATGTCTACACCTGTCGAAGAACTGTGCAAGGGTTATCCTGGTAAATTTTTTCTTCCACTATCTGTATCATAAACTGTTACACTATCTGCTGTCATCATCATTTATGTGAACGTGACCAGGATAGATATCAACCCTGTTTTTTTTTTTTTGTCATTGTAGTAGAGTTCGCGTCGTACCTAAGGTATTGTCGAGGACTACGATTCGAGGAGAGGCCTGACTACTCGTACCTCCGGCAACTCTTCCGGACGTTGTTTCACGGACAAGGCTTCACGTACGATTACGTCTTCGATTGGAATATGCTGAAATTTGGCAACGTGAGGCAACAGACGTTATCATCGACGCAACAGACAACGGCGATGCAGTCGCAACATACGAACGCGGCGCTGCCATCCGGGACCAATAACGATCAGGAACATCGATCTAGGTTGGTGTTACAGCTGTGTGCAACAGAACAGAACACATCCGCGGGCCGCGAATCGTTTGCCTATGAAATTAAACGTGTAAAATCGCCATACCGTCTCTCTTTCTCTCTGCCACACCGTCCTCCCATGCGTATAAATAGCGTAGCCATTTCATTACCCAGTGCGTTCTATTCTTAGCGGATGGGTCAATGAATCGGGAAACAGTAGTATTTAACAATATACGAACAACTAGATAGATTTAATTCCTTTTTTTTTTTTCTTCTTCTTTTTGTTTTGCCTATTCCTCGCTGAGGAACTTTCTGACACGAAGGATTGAAACAAACGATCCTGTAATTAATAAACAAAGCGTAAATTGTTTGTCATTGCGATGATCGTCTCTCTTTGCAGGCCCTACACACGGCAGTGTTTAGCAAACATATCAGTGGGGACAGTGGGCCCGACTGTGGGTGGGACAACCACGAACTTGAGAAGCATGCGGCAAAAACGCGAGGCGATAGACGCTCTTCGCGATCAGGACAATCAGGAGAGCGATCTTCAAGGTAAACCACAGTTCTACCCAAAATTAAATTGTTCTAAGCCGGTTATAACAAACCAGCAAACGATGCGGCTGGTAGTTGAACATCCGCAGCTAGCTGGCGGCAACGAAACGCCACGCGCGACCAACCCGTGTCAGTTCAGTACGTTTAAATCATCGCCGGTTAGAACAGCTCTGGAAGCGTCCCTGGACGTCGCGGGCCTTAACGTAGGAGCGAACCGCGAGGCGACCTTGAACCGTGCCGAGTTAAATTGTAGCACGTCCCGTGATTACACGGCGAACAGATTGGCGGATAGTAGCCCGGCTGGGTCGTTTCATCAGCCAGACGTCAGTTATTTCTTTCAATTGTACAAACGCAAGAATGAGATAGACTTCGAGGTGATGATGTTCGATCGTCTGACGCTGGACGAGAAAGGAAAGGCTGACCAGGAGGAGGATGCGCGCGCGGCGGCATCCGGCGGATCGTTGAACTGTTTCGGTGGCTTGGACAAAGACAAAAGCGACGACGACAAGAAGCAGAAAGCTTCGACGCCCGGTGGCCGGCATCATCATCATCATCATCATTATCATCATCATCATCATGCCTCGGGCCACCACGATGTCCGCCGAGATTCCGGAAACGTGGTGGAGTTCCTCGAGAAAGAGGGCGAGATCTTCAAGATAAGCAGCAGCGAACTGCTGCAGGAAGCATCCGCGAGGAAGAAGCGGAATTTCTCTTTCAATAACAAAGAGAAGAGCCACAGAAGCTTAGAGTCGTTGGAAAGAAGCATAGACCTCTCGGCGAAGGATTCGAAAAGCTTGGATCTGCTGTTCGAGGAACGTTCGAAGGCATTTTTTCACGGGAAACAACGGAGCCTCGATTCCTCCCACAAGTCAAAAAAGTCCGTGGATTCGTCCGGCAACAAGGCGCGAAAACGGCCGAATTTCTTTCAACGTGTACGAAGAAGCTGGCATTTTTTACTCATGCAGCGCAGAATCAAGCGGCGAAATAAATACGAACAGCCACTGAGCGGCCGGGAGAAGTGCGAGTATTTTTTGCACCGCCACTGCAAAAGCGAGATGCTCGAGCCTGCCTCGAACTCGTCGCTCGCTCGTCTGCAAAAAGCCGAATTGAGTCCCGATGTTTCGCCTGAGCAAGACGACGACACCATCGACGATAAAGCCGCCGAGGCAGTTTCGAAAGCAGATGGGAAAGACGAGAAAGAGGTTGCAGTTTTGTTGGATGATGGAGGCGGTACGATTGGCGCAAAGATAGACGGGCAAAACGGATCGCCTGGCGATCAGAATGTCAGCGACAAGCCACCGAAAGACAACAAAGGCGCGGAGAAACCATCTCAGTTGGTCACTGAGAATAACATCTCGCGAAAATTGCAAGAAGTTATTGGCACTGAAAAGAAGGAGCATATCGTGGACTGGGTAGTCACTATAGCGAATTTAGATACTCTGAGTCATGCTACCCGTTCCAACGAAACCGTCAGCTATGGCATATTGCACGGTACACGTGGTATCTTGAAGGGAATACTGTTCGACATTTTCCTCTGCGTATGCATCTAAGTTTTGCCTTCTACACGCAGCAGCTCTATATCTATGACAAAGACTATTATATCACGCACCCCCTTTGTTATTGATATTTAACATCGTTATTTGATATATCTCTCTGTATGTTGTTATGCCAGGAGGTCCCCTGCACACTTCTCACTTCGGCCGTGTCAGGGCGCTCTGATAAGATTTGAGCCTCCCCCCCCCCTGAGTTTCTAGTTTCTAGTTTCACTCAAGGGACAGGTGAGAATTACGACACGACGAAATATCACAATAGACAAATATTACTGTTGCACCGATATTGCATCCATTGTTTCGGATCAGCATCAACCTCATCTTTCTCCCATGACCTGGAAACGTCGACATTGTACGTCCACGTACCTGTACTCGTCGGGTTGTGCCGTACAGCCTGCTTCAAGGTATATTCTTTCTCTCTGCGAGTGTTTGCGACACTGCAGCCTGAGCAAATATTTTTTTACAAATTAGAATGCAGAAAAGAAAGAAAGAAAGAAAGAAGTGTACTTGCTAGAATCTGTCGTTCTCGACTATTTTACCGCTGGGAATCTCAACTATATATTTCTTAAGGCGATATATTTTTGTCACGTCACTGCCATTTTTTCAATCTCTCTTGGAGAAGCTCGATATTTTTCGATATATATCTCTGTCGTTCTTCGTCCGTCAGCCACGATCGTCCATCTTCAGAACGACGATGAAGCGTCGAGTGGCGATATAATTAACACGCGGACCCGTCCTACATATTCAGACTGATGAAATACCTTTATACACACA